GGGGCGCGCCCGAGCCCGGCGCCCCCGCCGCCCGGCCCCACCTCATCTTCATCCTCGCGGACGACCAGGGCTTTCGGGACGTGGGGTACCACGGGTCGGAGGTGCGGACGCCCACGCTGGACAGACTCGCTGCCGAGGGCGTTAAACTGGAGAACTACTACGTCCAGCCGATCTGCACACCGTCCAGGAGTCAGCTTATCACCGGAAAGTAAGTGTCCCCGCTTCATGTGTTTATTCCTTCGAGAAACCTTAAGCGTTTAGTTAAGATCCTGCTCGTCATTTAGGGAGAAACCGGAAATCTGGGGAATGAATGAATGAATGGAATAGGGTACTGAGTTATGGTATTAACATCGGAACGCCCGCCCTGGTCTGGTCTTGTTTGGCGCACTCTGGCAGCCTTGGGTCAGAGTCCGTAAACCCTCACCCCCCAACCAGGCACCCCAGAAGTGGTCTCCTTTCCCAAATCAAGTTTGGCTTTAGGGCCTGACTCGGTTTGATTTCCAGTGTCACCCTAGAGTGCAGTCACCACCACAGATAAGAAGGATCGACCAAAATGTTTCTGCAACTCTTGGTTGTTCTTAACCTAGAATTGACGAATCAAAACCACAGGTCATCACACAGGGAAGAGGGGCCAAGGAATGAAAGGCAGTGTAAACCCTGACCAGGGTCCATATGGCTCCATTTGGGTCTTTCTCAGGAAATCTCTCTTCCAGGGTCACTTACAAAGGCCATTTGTAACTATCAAGGCGCTTCTCAAAATGTAAGGAAATTCGATGGTACGAGTTCAGTGGGATTCAAATTCCATCTGAAGTTTTCAACTGCTACTCATGCACCTGGGAATTTTCTGACTAGCTCCAAGAAAAATCAGATTATTTGGACGCTTAAGTAAAGTTTTAAATATTATCGTAACTGACGTGGATGTCCCAAGTCAGCCTGTGGAACGGATAAACAGGACACCCAGGGCAAGCTACCACGGCAGAGGAGAATTCAGACGCGTCAGCATGTGTCTTGTGATCTTGGTGTCAGGGAGCCCTCGCTGCAGGGCAGCTGTTCTTGGACTTGGCTCCTGTAAGTGTAGCCAGTATCCACTGGAAAATTAAAGACCATTTTGTAGGAATCTCTGTCTTGCAGACACTTTTGCCTACAGCATGATCTCCACTGCTTAGCAAACTGTCAGAATTTAGCATTACTGCCAGAAAAGAAAAAAATCCCATACTTTCCTCTCTTGAGTCATTTTAAAGGTTAATTGGGGCAGAAAGTTGAGGGCGTTTGATGTTTATAAAGGGGCAGCGTGTTTGTTGGCTGGAAAACAGCAAGTCCATCTGCAGGCCTAGAGGTCAAGTTCTCACGTCTAATCCCAACTGCTCTTCTGTCTGGCCTAGGAAACAAATGTGTCATAAAGGCTCACTGAACCTCTTCAACTAACATAGAATTTACGTTTACTCAGAGAGCCAACAGTAGTTGAAAACTATGTAACTGAATTATATGAACTTATCGTTCGCAGTAAAGCATATGTTTAAGGCTTCTCGCTTGAACAACACTGAGTTCCTACCCACTGTCTGTGCTGAGGAAAGATCTAGGTTTTCCTTTTTTATCTTTGTTTAATTAATGACATGAGACAGAAAGGAAGCTGGAAATAATTCTTAACTTCCTGTTGTCCGAGGTTGACTCTCAGTTCCTTCAACGCAATCAAGCATTTCATAAGAATTATTCTATTAAAATGTTCTATCAGTGTAAGAAGTTATGCAGCTGTTCTACAGACAAAAAGCTCAAATGGCTACTGTGACTTGATTTAAATTTCTATTTGAATTAGACAAAGACATTTGCACTCGGAGTTCTCCTTCTAGACAAATGGCTGGGATTCTGGTGGTCCTGGAAGTCTGCTCGGGGGCTAATAATGCTGAGCTCAGGGAACACAGTCATTTGTCTTCTCTCTGAGAAAAATAAATAAGCAATAAAAACCGAAACGGACCGAATTATTTTAAAGGAAAAACTAGGGTCTGTGAACTATGCGAGGATTCACACATCTTCACATTTATAAAGAAGGAGTTTGAAAGCTTGGCGCTGAAGCGATGTCTGATAGTGTTAAGTGTACCTTCCCCGCACATGTCGTTGGAGTCGAGGTGTATAAGTCTTTCCTGTATGGCGCACAGACCCAGCAGGAGTTCCAGGTCCTCACGCCCGCCAGTCCCGCAGTGCTGACGCCGGGCTGCCGAGAGCATTCATTGTGTGTGGTTCCCATCCAGGAACTGCGAGAAGTAAGCGCGTGGGCCCTAGACTCTGCACAGCGGCTCTCCCACCCGAGCATGCCAGAAGAATCAGCCAAAACGCAAGTTCAGGCCCAGCCAGCGATTCTGCTTCCTGGTCTGGCATGGAGCCCAGAAATCAGTAGTCACGTCAGGTTATGTTGATAATGCCACTCATGTAAAACAAAAGAGTGTTGGTATTAGATGCTGGCGCCTGTGAGCCATTACCATGTTCTCAAATGATGCCGTTTTATCTCAGTTAATCTTTACAACAGCTCTATGAGGTGTTACTATCGACACCCCCGTTTTATACGGATGTGGTCACAGGTTCCCAGAGACGTAGTGATGCCGGGTTCTGCACACCAGACTTTGAGAAACAGCACTGTAGCTGTTCAGAGTTGGCCTGGTGATATAAAGTTGATTGAGAAAGCGGCTGCTGGTGTTTGGTTTATTTCAAAGTAGTTTTCTCACCTTTTTAAAAAATGTTTAAAACAATTTTTCAAATGCAGACATGGAATTTTCCATGTCTGCATTTGAAAAACTGTAAAAAATAGTGAAGGCTTCCGAAAAAGAAGTATAAGTTTGCAAAATTTAGACACCGTTTTATGCAAGCTTTGTAGTAGGAATGATTTGCAGTCTGAACTGAATTTATATCTTGAGCAACAATTTTGTGTTTTTACTGGTTTGTTTTTCTTCCCACTTGAAATACCATGATGATCATTTTGACAAAAGCAAAACCAATTGGAATAATGTGTGTTTGTAATAAGATATTGGATAAATTCATGTTGTCTTAAACAACCCTGCCTCTCTCAAGGGTAATCACTCTCCCAACTTCTTCCACCTTGAATTAAGTTCGTCGGTTTTTGAACTTCATAGAAAGGGAATTGTAAGGGAGGTACTCTTTCATGCCTGGCTCCTTTCTGTTAACAGTTGTTTGTAAAATGTATCCATGCCGTGCCCTGTAGATACAATTCATTTCTCCTCCTTGCTGAAGAGTGGTCTTTGGCACTGATGCACTACAAGGTACCCTCCAGTCTCCTGCTCAGACTCCGGGGTTGTTGGCAGTGCTGTGCCATTCCCAGCAGCTGCCGTGAACATACATGCTTTTTGGTGATCGTGTGCACACTCTTCTCTCGAACATCCCTTAGGAAGTGGGGTCGCTGATTTCCAGAAATGTGTACGTCCTTCTTTCCTAGATACTGCCCATCGGTCACCTAGAGTGGGTCCTCCGCCCACGCTGCCATGAGCAATGCGTGGACGGCTCGGTTTGCTCCCCATCTTCCCAGCGCTCACCACTGTCTCTTTCATTTTGGTCCTCCTGGTTGCTATGCGTGCCGGTGTGGTTTAGATCTGCATTTGCCTGGCGACAATAAGCACTTTTCCATGGGCTCATGGACCATGTGGAGATCCCCTGTAATAGGTATCTAGTCACGTCTTCTGCCTGTTTTCCCATTAAGTGATTGATTTCTGGTGGTTATTTATGTATTCGATTCCTTAGTCAGATATTTATATTGTGTATGTTCTCTCCCCTGTGGCTTGCTTTAAACTCTTAATAGTGTTTTCTGATAGACGGAAGGTTTTGATTTTATTGTACTTATTTATAACCTTTTTCTTTTCTATGCTCTATTTAAGATGTGTTTGACTAGACCAAGATCATGACAATGGTCTTTTTCTAAAGATGTATTGTTTCATTTTTGTACTTAGATCTACAACTCATCTGGAATCAATTTCTAGTATGGTATAAGTCAGAGTTCAAGACTATGTTTTCCATGTGTGTGTCCATTTGACCTGCACTATTTGTTAAAAAGACCGTGCTTTCTCCACTTCCCCGCACCTTCTTCATGTGTCAGATAAAGGTACGGGTCTGGGTCTGTTTCTGGGCTCCCTCCTGTCCCGTCTGCCTCTCGTCTACTCCTGCACCAAGTCTGCAGTCTCTTACTGCCGTCACCCCACACCCCACACTAAGAGCTGATGTCTGGAATGTGAGTCTTACCTCCTCTTCTTCAAAATTTCCTCAGCAATTCTTTACCAGTTTATTCATTTTAATATGAAAGACTGGGAAGGATGGATGCACAGATGCACGCAGGTAAAAGGCGTGGCTTTGGCGGGTATGAGGGATTTCTCTTCTGAATTAGCCTACTTTCTGAGTGAAATGCTAAATGAAGTCATTAGCGGAGGACGAGGGTCTGGAGGTTTAAAGACAGAGATGGAAAAGATTCCTCTAGGAGAGCGGGAAGTGGACCAGGAAGGGAGACGCTGTGAAGACTGGTGGTGTGGTCGTAAGTCACACAGAAACCAGCCACCGTCTGTTCCTCCCGCTCCATGAGCAGAAGCCTGTGTGCAGAAGATGCACCGTTACGAGGTGCATTTAACTTCTTGGGGCTTTTCCAGATGAAAGGAGTGGGATCATGGACTCTAAACTTGGCAAGGAAAGGGGGTCTGCGGGGTCTGTGTTCTCTGAAAGGTGCCACGGTCAGGGGTGAGGCTGGAGTGAGCACACGACAGCAGCCTGGGACGCTGGGAAGGTGGGGGTGGTAGTTGAAGAAGAACATGCTTGGGACCACAATTCTGTAAGTAGTGCAGTTTTCGGAAATGGTAGAGGAGTGGGTGCCAAGGTGACATGGAGGAAGCCAGCGCTGGGTGTGAGGAGGGCAGAGTACCGGCGGTCACCTCAGTGGAATATGAAACCATAAGGACAATGCGCGAGGACAGTGAGCCAGGTGCTGGAATGGGGTGCCACGTGCAGGCAGGGCCTGGAGTGGGGAAGGGACTCTTAACAGAAGAGATGGCGAGATCATAGCCTGCTGACACGCTGAGCTGGTAAAAGGGGGCAGGAGCCACTGTGTCTAGACGTGCCGAGAGGACCAAGCGGGGAGCATCTCTGCTGCAGGCTCTGTGATAACGGGGTGCAGACCAGCCCCAAGTGGACGGATGCAGGCTGGCCAGTGATCAGCTAGAACAC